TTTGCAGGGTTTAGTGTTTTTTTTGAGGAATCGTAGAAGACTAACAAGGAGCCCTAAGCGACACTATTCATAATTTTTCCCAGGCCCCTCAGCCCTAAAAGTATTACGTTGCGAAGCTGCCCAGATGCTGCCCTAAACCCTAAACCCTATGATTCCTAAACCCTAAACCCTAATCCCTAAACGGTGTCCTCTGAGAAGCACTGGTCGATGTTCTTGGTAGGCGGAGTCTTCTTGATCTTACCTTGCGAGCCAGGGCTCCGGCTCTTGGGGGATTCTAAGGGCCTTTTTAGGGCTTGTCGAGCTTAGGGCCTTTACGGCTTTGGGGGTTTCAGAGTGTAGGTTCCTGGGGGAGTTTAGGATTTAGGAGCCGCTAAACTTTAAGCTAAACACTATAAACCCCCAAACCCCAAACCCTAAAACCCTACACTCCTCAGCCCCGTAATCGGGAGACCCACCCCGACACAAGCGGCCTTCTCCGAACAAAACCGCAGTGGACTGCGACGCGGCCGCACAGGAATCTGAGTCCCTGTCTGCAGACAAGACACGGGTCCTCCAAAATTTTCGGTGACCGTGATCTAGTACATAATCCTGACAAGGCGCAAGGCGCGATGCATTGGGACACGATTCTTCCAAACTTGATCACAAACATATCGTGCAAATAGTGGCAACAACTCTAACAATGTCAGCTCAGCGATCCAAATGATTGGAACGGAAGTAGCAAAGAAAAGAATGAGGAGCCTGATGCGCATGTGATCACGGTGCGATGACATTCGCAATGCATAGTAAAGCTCTGGACGCCGGTGATGGCGGTTGAAACCATGGTGATGGTGGCGATTATCATCACGACACGACGAAGGAAGACGAGGAGGAGATGATACTAGTAGCAAAAAATCCACATTTGCAGCAACTCCGTTGCGCTTGTTTGGGGCACAGAGGACAGCAATGACCGCCTATACAATCGGAACTAAACAATACTCGCAATCTGACTCAACTTGGCGACAGTAGCCATCATGACTGCACATCCCCAAGTGAAGACATATGGGGGTTTCCGAAGATGGGGGACCCTAATATAGTACCCTTATTGTAGGATCCTTATAATCAGGACCCCAAAATACGGTACCCTAATTTGCGGAAAGTCCCATATCCATGCCAAGTTGCAAAACACTTGCATCGGCCCTGGACTGTCGACAGCCAAGGGTAGATCCGCGCAGCAGCTGAGAACAGGACCTTAGGACAAGGCTCGGCCTACGTGGGGTTGTAGCGGTTCCGGGGTCTCGGGGTCGTTGCACATGGGGTTCGTGGACTGACGTCGCAAGTCGCAGGACTCAAGGTGCCAGGTGCGACATCGAAAGCAGCTAGAGGTCGAGGACTTCAGGTGTGAGGCATGGCCTGTTGATGAAAACCAAATGCCAGAAGATCAATATCCAGCCGTGATGATGATGATGGTGGGGGTGATGATCAAGATGATGCAGATCACCACGATGACGGTGATTTTGGGCACGCTTGCCGTCCGCACCCATGGCATCATTCTTCAACTTCATCATCTGCCGCCATCACCGATCATTATCGAAGTCCAACATTACCAGTTGCCTTGGTTCACGAAATGCCGAAAGCAATCGATGACTTGAGGCCGCACTCTGAGGACATTCATCAAAGACTCGCACAAGCCTCCATGCGACACGAGACGTTTGACATTGCAAGCCCCTACCGTCAGCGAACATGAGGACATGTCCGTCCGCCGTTAGCAAACCAGTGTAAGGCTACCAAGAATAAGTATGAGAGAGGACGATGTCGGACAATAGAGCCGTAGACCTGGACTCCGACCTTAAGACCCTAAACTCCCTACTACACCCTAGACACGGCCCTGCGCTCTGAAGTAACCGCCGAGGTGCTACGCCCACGCTAAAGGCATCGACCAGAAAGGGGTCATAGAAGGGTGTCAACGCCATCTCGGGCGCCTGCGCGAACTCCCGAAGCGTGGAACCGGTCAGCACCGTGCTCAGTAGAATAAGGGCTACGATAAGGGGTACTATAAGGGGTACTACAGAGTCCAAAACCGAAAGTCAGATCCCTCAACATTCGGAATCTCCCATGTGGCGGAGAAGTGCAGTAGCCGCGGCACTGCAACACTGGTCGCAGTAGACGCAAGGAGTTTGATCAACCACGATCAAGAAATCCCCCAAGAGCTCCGGGAACCTTGGCACACTTTCGCCTACAGACCACCCGAACAACGGAAAGCAAGACCAATCATCCTCCGAATCGTCAGAAGTTGGCAGCTCAACAACGCTTGACTGAAAGGTGGTTGGCGAGGCTGTACCATCTGGACGAAGAGGGATGCCCTCAAAACAATCACCAGAAGACAGGTGAAGGCCGTTTGCAGAGAAATCCAGACTATGGAAGGGACCAGTTGGTTCACGACTACCTGGCCACGAAGTTCGCAGGGAATTTAGAACAATGATTTGAGCAAGATTGCCAGCAGTCTTGCAATCTTACCCCAGTTGTCCCACCTGCCCCACTTGGGGGGGCAGGGGGGGCGGGGCCAAGATAACCATGCCATCTAGGTCTAAGGTGTAAACCAGTCGGCGAGTGGCCCAGCAAGTGGGGCAAGTGGGCCAAGATGACTAAGATGACCAGTGGCGAAGCAAGATGACCAAGATTGCCAAGTTGACCAAGATTTGTTTCATACTTGTTCTAAATTCCCGGCACAATCAACTATGCTTATCTTATGGTTGAACGATGTTTTATGGTGTAAAACAAAGCAACTATGCTTCAGAAGGCACCTTCCCTGCTGGAGGGTTCAGGTAGTGCGGGGTTCTGAAGGCTCATCGCGGCTTTGGAATTCGGACCTGCGAAGACTAGACCATGGCTCCCCTAAGCTCTGAAACCCACAAACCGTGTAAAGTTCCAGTGACATATTAACACCCCTGCGTGCCCTGAACCCGACAGGTCAAACCATAAAGCGATTGAACTCTCGAAAACCCCAAGTAAGGAAGACACCCCAACAGCTCAAGCCCCAAAGCCCGAAAGCCCAACGAAGCCCCTAAATCCCAAAGGACCCAAAACCCACCGCTTCGCTGATCCGACCTGGTAGGAGGGCTTCCCGCGATGGCCGCAAGTCACCTGCGAGGCTCTTGGAGGTTTGAAATCGGGCTTAGGGTTTAGGGTTTAGGGTTTTTAGGTTTTAGGGTTTAGGGTTTAACAGCTCTGTGCTGAGCTATCTGTTCGCTTCTCGCAGTCTTTTCGGCACAAGCAACAGCTTAACATCCGCTCGGCTAGGGAGCTTTTCGCAGGCGATTGTGTGGCTTCAAGGTTTTCTGGGGAAGGGGCTTTGGGTATTTCGGGCTGTTGGGTTTTGGAGGCTGGGGTTTCAGAGGATTCGGGAGTCTAAGGGGTCAAGGGCTTAAGGGGATTACGGGTGCAGGGGGGAGTGGCTATGCGGGCGAGCCGATGTGGTGCTGTTTTGCAGTGCACATGAGGAACACAGACAAGGGTTCTGCAAACGCCCAACAACTCGAGGAAGATGTTTGCGCAGTGTTCAGCTTGAAGCTTTCATCGAGAGTTCGGCAGCCATCAATTCACGGACTCGCAAAAAAGGGAACGCGACGTCCTGCGAAACCCGCATTATGGTTGCGACAAGCTTGTAGGCAGCCCGAAACAGGAAAACCAGACCCTTTTGTCTCATGTTCGAAGATGGGAATTTGCAAAAACAATTCAGATACGTCGTCCAGGCTTTGCAGAAGGTGGTTTATCGTGCCTAGACGTCTAAGCCATCAGTTTTAGAACCAGGGCCGTGTAGGCTATGAGCATGGTAAACTTAATTGTGTGCCTACTTTACTAGCAGATCGCACGGCAGTTTGGCCTGTAGTGTGTTGTCTTGCTCTTGCTAGAGGATACTTGTTGCCGGCAGTGTACATCAAGGACAGACTACAGTGGATCAGCGACGACTATGAAGCAATCCATCAAGAAAGCAGAGCAGCAGGCGACATCAGCAAAACAGCTGCTACAGTTACAGTTTTCCAGCGACTCGAACGATCAGACAATACGAACCAGCGGTACCAGAAGAAGGGTGCACCATTTATCATAACAGAACCACCGCGTACCCGCACCAGACCATACTCCTGCCGTCCTTGCGAGTTTGAACACATGGGTGGCTCTCTAAACTAGAGTCCCTTCTGGTGTTGATGTTTTGAGACTGTCGCACCCTTTCGGGATTCCCGTAAACTTCCGAAAGGCATCCTATTTCAGAGAACTGCCCTCATGCCGAGTGGAAAGTCGGAGGTCGCCTTCTCGCCGATCACGGCCATGCTAAAGTCTATGAGTTTCACCTGTCCCAGAAGGTTTTGGGTATAGGATTTGGGCAGAATAGGGTCCTTTCACACATACAACCTTGAAGCCTAACACCTGAACCCGAAGCCCTAAACCCTAAAGCCCTAACCCTACACCCGAAGCCCTAAACTCCTAAACCCTAACTACAAGCTTAGCTTCTGGATTCGTTTCAGCCATCTGCAGCTTTCCGACTCCCCCCAACCTTCGCCTTGCCTCTCAAGCCACCTCAACTCAGCCTTTGAGGGTCTCATGTTTCGAAGCTCTTACCGAAAAACCTGCAGGCAACTAGCGGAAGCCTCTGAAGGTGCTGAAGCACTAAACGCAAAAGTTCACGCACGAAATCGCATCAACCTCGAGCATCTGAATCCTGACCTCCTTCAGCCCCTGCAAATAATACGGCTCCTAAGCTGTTGTGCCTTGAACTTCCCAATTGCCCAGAGTAAGGTTGGCAGCATGGCGTCAAATTGACCCTTTCCATGTGGGTTTAAGGCCCGAAATCTTAGGTTGAAGTTGGATGCCTGCGTGCTGCGCCTACCTCAGCCTTGCCGAAGAGCTAGAAAGACTTAAAGCCCCCAAGCTTGAAAACCTAAAGCTGATGCCGCAACTTCAACTTGCGGAGTGATGTGGGGTGAGGGTATGGGCGTGTTTGGAATGAACTTGCTTAGGCTTTGGGCCTGAAGATGTCCATCGGTGGCGTCCTGCAGCATACGTGAGGAAGTGAGCGAGCTTCAGCGAGTGGTTGTGCCCCACCACACACCACTCAAACAAGACCGACCGTAATAAATGCGGAACAACGACGAGCAGTATAAGAACAACTTGCACTCCAAGGAAGATTCTGTGACCATCCCCAAATTCACGACACCTGCAAGAGTCCTTGGTGACAAGGATGTTTTCCATGGAGATGTCGCAATGCGCGATGTAGCGATCATGAAGATATCTCATGGCCGAGAACAACCTTGACAGCTCCACTTTGAATGACCGGCCGAATCTGCTACCTATACTTCATGCAGACCTGAGGCCCTAAATTCAAAACCCCGCATCCCAAATCGCGGACCAAACGGATCATCCAAGCTTTGCCAGGCGGCTGCACCATGAATGGCCGCAATGCCTGGCTTGGGCTTCTAGGATCCAAGGTTTAAGGTTCAGGGTTCAATTCAGGGTTTAGGGTTTAGGGCTCAGGGCGCCTAATTTGGGCTTCGGGATCGAGGTGATGCGAATCATAATGAAAGCAAGCAGTATACTAGACGATACCCCAAGTCCCCAACGCTGGAACGCTGAGCCGTGATCGCTTCACAGCAGCTTCATCTTCATCTGCTTCTGCCAAGTATAGAAACCCCGGCAACCCAAAACTCTCTAACACGAAAACATGAGCACGAAAGCTTGCCTCGAATTCCATCATGTAGAATGCTAACTACCGCCCCGTGCACTTTGAAAATGCGAGAACACAAACCTTCGCATGTCCACAACTAAATTTAACTAAATCAGGCCCCACCGTTCCCAACAAAATCCCAGTACCTGGACATGAAATCCCTGTGCAGACACTGTCACAATGCGTCACCGGAACATATTTACAACGAACGCGCAAGGCACAGTGGTCTGTTGCGCCTTAGCACCGACTGCTTTCAACGGTTAATTATCTAGGGATTATAATTACGCATGCCTCAGGGAGCGGGGTCTATGGATGAGAGTCTTCCATCTCTCTCGATTCTGGAAATAGGGTTGTACCTTTCGATACAAAGGAGTGTTGTGTGCATCCATACTATAGAAGAGGTTGCATGGGCAGTCTGTATTTGCGACAGCGTAGGTATTGCGAAGAACGCGTTGTGTATATCTGAACGTGGGGGAGGAGCGGCTGATGCAACAAAATCAGTTCTCTGTACAGCATGATTCCGCCCAGTGTGGGCCTGCCCGATTCGATGATGCTACGTGTTTATACGCGTGGGAGCCCATAACAATCACTTGGTATTCTAACGTTTCTACATGTCTGTAAAGATGCCCTAGTAGCTGGAATCTTTGTTGTGAGTAAAGCTGGAAGGGTGTGGGAACGTGACGCGCTGAAAATGCGAGGCCGGCAAAATATTCGTTAGAGCAATCAGCAGATGGTGGGTCCAAGACCCTGTGATAAAGAGAGGATTTGATTTTGAAAACACATCGGAGTGATTTAAAGTGAACAGTGTTCCTTTTTTTGAATTTGCGCTGGCGAGAGTGGCGCAAAATCCATAGCATAGGCAAGGATAGATAAAACTACCCATCTATAGACCGTAAGTTTCCAAGATGGAGGAAGAGCGGAGTGAGAGAGGAGGGGACGAAGAAGTTTAAAGGCCGAAATGGCCTGCGAGACCCTGTAATTTAGATTTTTCGATTAGATTAGAGGATTCTGCGTCTACTAGATAGACGCCCAAGTTTTTGACTTCCTCTGAGAGGGGCACCGGTTTGATGTCGTGATTATGACCTGAGCAGAACCGACAATCACAAGGACAACCTAGGGAGGGCAAACAGTATATCCGTTGTTTCGAACGTAAGCGAGGATGTTCGCACTTATCTTGATTAAGAGTAAGTCCTCTGTTCTGACCAGGATGTTGGATGAAGTGAAAGAGTCGATTTAACTCTGTAGCTGAACAGGAGAGTAGAACCGTGTCGTCTGCATATTCCAGGTCCCAGGGAGGAGAAGGGAGATGGAAGACTCCCGAGATTTCCCCATACTGGGCTTGATAACTCTGCTTTACATCAAAAAGGAGGCGGTTAAAACCAGACCAAAAAGATAGGGGGACAGAGGACAACCTTGTCGGAATCCTTTTGGTTGATTTTTTGTGTAGTGTAGATTTGTGAGATGAGTCAGTCGTTGACAATAATAAAGGTGGGGTTCGCGTAAAGCACCATAATAACCTTACGAGTGTGGGTAGGAATAACCGCATGTTCCATAGCCGCCTGGATAGCAGTGAATGGAACCGAGTCGAGAGCTTTAGACCAATTTAGGAAAAGAGCATGGAACGGCGTGTTTTGTCTTTCAATCAAATACCTCTAGGTGACGCATAATCTTGCATAGTAAAGGTTGCGTCGATAGTGCAAACGTTTGCGATCGTTGGGAAGAGGAGACGAGTTTATCATCTAAGTTGTGTAGCCCCGTGAAGCAGGGCATTAATTCAGCAGTGTTGTCTGGCGTGCGTCGGAAAGGAGATGTTGCGCTATGAAATCCTTTTATCTTTGCGCGCCCCTTTTTAATTTGATGCATGGCCCTTTTCAGAGAGTGGACTATCAAGATTTAACAACCACAAAAATGTCATAGACTTACCACGGTAATCATAATGATTCATGGTTGATCATCATCACGGTCATATCTCGTGTCATCATCAAGAACACCCACAACAAGAGCCATGCCAGCTACAAAATCACACTACGGTGATGGCCTCTTCCCTCTCCGGTCCCGGATCAGGTCCTCGGGTCACGAAGGTGAAGAGGTCGCCTCCCAAAGACGAGGCACTGATGAGATCGCTTAACAAGACAGTAATTAGATAATGAGATGGGATAACCTATGTAGAAGAAGAGATCCTGAATTCTGCTTGTCTTATTGGGACCCGGGTGCTGACTGTAGATTGCCAAAACTTCGACGACTTGCAAGCACAAAATTGTAAAGTTGACTGCGAAGTGAACATGTATTTCTTTTGTTAAAGGTTAGCGCGGAATCTTCATAACCAGAATTCGTAAAGCTGGCATCTGGCTTTTGGACGATAGGAACACGGCAGTGCCATGCATTCGCTGAGTCTGAGCCACTTCCAAAAATCCCAAAACAGCACTTTATGTTTATGCTTGGAGCACTGGCATTACCAGCAGCCCAGGCGCGGTCCACATGATCAAACTTCATGAATACAGCCAACAGGGCTACGCAGGCCCCCAATGAATCCCATAGGCCAACGCTCCTGATTGATGCATTTGATCTTTGCCCCGCTTCAACCGTAGAGAGACGTGTTAGTTCCCCGGCGAGGGCTCTAGCTCGAGCCAACAGCGATGGAATCCAGGTCATGTCATAGAATGCCCCTGCTGCCAACCACAACACCCCGACACAGTGGCTTAATTTCGCGCACACACACACACACTGACCGACACTGACTGATGTTATGCTTCCACGCCGCTAGCAGTTACTCCGCGTCGTCGCAGTGGAGTTGCGTTTGCGGTTTTCGCAGTTCTAACAGTACCATGTGCAGTGACTTCGTCATGTCGTCGTCGGAATCGGCATAGATAATGCACAAGCTGGGGACATGCAAGGCAAGAAGGAGCATTGACTTCTACGAGAACACCGCCTATTGATGCCATTGCTGCGAGCTCAACGTCCCCAGCCTTCCGTTGCTAGTTCGGAGGCACAGTAAAGCCACTCGCCTCGATGCACGGACGGCACGCATTGGGCGAACAGGAACAAACCGATACTTCTCAGAATGCCTGAGCCGCCGTCACCAATCATCTCTGAACCCGAAACAGCTTTGAGGCCTCAAACCTCTGCCTGGCCCTTCAAGTCTTAATCGAAGCTACATATAACTACATAGGTCACAGGAGCAACATCTTCCCTTTGTATGCCACCAGGCACAGTGACATCAAGGCTCTTCTGAGGACGACTCCGACATCGAAGCATGGGAGCTGAGAGTTTCAACCCGAGACCCGATATGCCAGAAAGTCAATGGTTCCCCCTCTGAACTTAGGGGTTTAGGGGTTTAGGGGTTTAGGGCCTTTAGTTTAGGGTCCCCCCTTGAAGTGCAGGCTGTCGTCTGTCTCGAAAGACGCCCTTCGGGTGGCACACGAAATCGACTCCCTTCCTCAGAGGACAGGTTAAGGCATTACTTACCATGCACTGGTCGGCAACATGTGCTTGACGTCGTAAAGCTTGGGTCTTACGACCCAGGCCTCAAAGCAAGGTGTAGAGAGGAGGGAGTATTTACTCGGAACCTGCTCTGCCTGACTGCAAAAGGCCTCGCATGTGGTGATTGCATCTATGCAGTGGAGAGAAGATACTGCTTACTCACTCCTAGCAACGCGAGCCACATCCCTGAATCCAAACTGGACTATCTCCACCCCTCTTACCTGCAGCCTCAGGAAAGGTTCAAGTTTGTCAGGTTCCGCAATGACTCTCCACATAAACTCCCTATTCGCGGGAACATGACCCTTTCGAGGTGGGCTCACTGTCGAAGAAAGCGAGACAACCTGGAAATGCGAGCCAGGCAGCCTACTCAAGTATCGAACGACACCAAGATCCGCCCAAGGATTCTCTGTGTCTTGGGGATGACCCCGTCGATGCTGCTGCTGGCCTCCACATCTGGTGGGGCTTTTGAAAATCTTGTTTCAAGGGTCCCTTCTTGTTTAAACGACCTCCCATCTGTGGTGAGACACATTTTTGGCTTCAGAAGTCGCAATCCCACTTCCCGTGGATCTATGACAGAGTCCACGATCGAAACCGGTGCGAAAGCCCGCCGACCTTCTGCTGGCAAGCCTTGAAATGTCACAGGCCCGGCGCATACTCGACCAAAGCTGTTCTGATGAAGCTCCCCGATTTTCTGGACAACACAATAATGGGCTTCGATCATTTTGGTTTTACACATTTGTCCCATTCTCCGCCAGCTGCTTCAGGACGGCTGGGGGGGGGGGGGGTTGTAAAGCACCTGAGACTTGAATCCTTGATACCGACAGGCTCAAAACCGAAGCCCGAATTCAACACCCCAAAGAATACAAAAGAAGAGCAGCCTCGAGCAAGATCAACATATTGGTGGTAGTAGTAGAGTCCGGTAGAGTAGCAACAGTGACCCAGTCGCACCTGTAAGGGTCCAGGAGATGGGCATGACCTTCACAGCCACGAAGCTGCCGTCATCGATGCACTTCATCAAGTCTACTGTTCCTTGATAGGGTTTAAGGTCTAGGGTTTAGGGGGCGTTTTTACAAGGTTCTGAAAGGCGGATGAGTGTTCCGGGCCTTAGGGTTCTACAGGTTGCTTTAACTCTGCCCTTTGATGGTCAGAATTTGTAGGGACTGCCGTCGCGGGTGCAGGAATTTTGGTCTGTTGCCTGGGGGGCGGGGGGGGGGTGGGTCTCAGGAGTTCGGCTTGGGTTTCCCTGTTGGGGCCATATTAAAAATGATCATCTTTCATCCTTACTAGGGCTTTATTATAACAAACATGTAAAAGTGTATCCAACAAGGCCCCAGTCTTAGCGCTAGGAAGCTTTGGGTTTTGAGTTAAAACTACGGGCTTTGAAGTTTCGGGGTTTAGGGTTTGGGGTAAAAGGCCTCCGCGGTTCAGCTCCTGCGGCTTGGGCCTCAACATGCCTAGAGAGCGTTAAGCACGAGAACGCGTACTGCAAAACAAGCTGCAATGATACATCAAGTTTCAAAGATAAGGGAGCCTGGTGAAAACCATTAATGGTAAGGTCCGTACTGTGCGAGCCCTTAAAGAGCATGCTTCGGTTCCCAAGACCCTGTGCGAGCAAGGCCCCGATGTTTCCAAAAGTCACCGGCGAGTGACGTTTGGCGTCTTGATTAACGAGTTCGATGGGGACCTAACCTAGACCAAAACCCTAAACCCGTACACCCTTGAACAAAAGCCTAAACACTGCACCCGAAGCCCCGCCTTGATTTCGTCCGGCTCTCTGCAATGTCCTCTGAAATTGGAAGCTTCCAGGCCTCCGGGGCACAGAGCTCTGCAAGCTTTGGCTCATCACCTCCCATGTCTGGGAGTCTAGAGGCCTTTTGGGAGTCAGGGGAGCCTGATTCACGTCCTTCATAATGTTGAATGTTGCTCTCCGCCTTCCTTTGCCTCTTTCAAGGGCATGTCGCAGTTCGTGACACGTCAACATGTGGGCCTGCAAGTGCCCTCGTAGTCTCAGGACCTAAACCAACCGCATGCCATAGAGCATGTCGAAGTAGGTCACCGACTTTCTGAGCTTGTTGTGTGAAGTGGAAAAGGTTGGGCTCCTTCGCTGATGTGTATAAATCGAGAAGCGTGCAACCTGGAATTTGCCGTGAGCCGTGCAGATCATCAATAGGTTATGAGCGCCCAAAATGCTGACAGCGCCTGGTGGAACGACGCCATTGATGAATGGCAATGCTCACTTGCCCAGGTGAGCCAGTCCCGCTATGGGGCAACAGGAGGAGCAGATGCCGGAGAAGTGGCTGATGCCCGTTCTGGAGGCCAGGCTGGACATGTGGATCTGGGTGAGGAGCTGACTGCTCAAGGGCCTCCGGTCCAGACGAGGGAGGAGCCATCGAATTCTGGTCCGTCCAGAAGTTCCGGTGACTATTCCGGCGGAAGCTCCGAGGCAGACTCTCGGAGAACCTCCGGACGGACTTTGATGAGGCTTGCAGAGGGAATCTGAGGACGCTGCTGAAGACAGGACGGGAGGAGTGGAAACTTCGGAGCACTTCGTGAATGCTGAAAGTGGTGAAAGGACCCCTCCCGTGTATTCGGAGCCGGCGGCACATGCTCAAGCCTGGTATTTTGATCGCTTTCGCTGATGGTGCGCCATACTTATAGGGGCCCCTACCTTTTCACGTTTGCTGAGAAGGACCCCTCAAATGGGGCACCACCAGCAAGGGAGACCTCGACGACAAAGGGTGCAGACCATGAGGTTCCGAACACAGCCGGCAACCCAGCACCCCTCTCGCACACCAGAAGCTTAAAGCCCAACATCCTCACACTTGAAAATCCTGACCAAAACCTAAACTAAACCCTGAGAGACCCGAGACGGCCCAACCTCGAAACTCTGCAGTCCTTCAGACCTGCATGTAAAGTACTCGCTTATATCCGTAGCCCACAGGATAACCCTCAGCAAGCACTCGTGGTTTTGGGCTATTTGGATTCAAGGCGTCAGCAAGACTCAATTACAATCGCACCTTTCCTTTCTATATTCTCACAAGGAAGAAATTCAGCGCATAAAAAAACCCAAACCACACAACCCCTTACAAACATTCAAACTGAAGACATCCTGAAAGACCGGCAACCCCTACAAGACCCTGAAACAAACCCTTGTCATGAACACACCGCCCCCTCCACTTCGCAGGCCAAGAAGCCCTATATCCGAAACCGTGAATCCTAAACCCTCAACCCTAAGCCCCAAACCCCGACACCCACCCTAAACCCTAAACCCTGGAATCCTAAACCCTAAACCCTAAGCCCAAACCCCGGAATCCTTAACCCTAAACTCCCTAATAAACCCGACACCCTGCACCGAAAGCCACTCTCGTGCCTCCATTGCTGAACCTCCCGGCTCACCGTCTCGAAGTTGGCCTCGACTTCTTCCTCGGAGTTTAGGGTTTAGGGTGTCGGGTTTGGGGTTTCGGGTCTAAAGTCAAAAATTTAGGGTTTAGGGGCCCTGTGGGTTGTAGGCTTCATCTGGTTTGGGGTATGGGTTTAAAAGGTTTTGGGGTTTAGGCGTTCAGGGTGTGGGGTTTAGGGGCTTTAAGCTTGGATTTTCACAGGTTTTGGATTCAGTCTAGACTCAAAGGGGTCTCGGCGTTCAGGGATGTTGTTTGAGGTTTAGAGGGAAAGGATGGAAGGATTCGGGTCTAGGGTTTGGGGCCCGTTTAGCTTACGGCTTAGGGTGCCAGGTTCGAGGGTATGGGTGTTCGGGCCAGTACGTACTCACAGTATTCAGGGCTCAGGGTGTGCACCTGCGGTCAAGTCTGGGAGACTCTTGGGTTGGTGACTTGGTACAGTACCGGTCCCGGAAACGGCAAAAGCCCTCGGACCTTGGCAATACTTTGACCTGGTACGCGCGCTGCGCCATCGGCTTTCGACTACCCAGTGCATGAGGTGAACGCGTACCGGTGCCGGAAGACGACGGCACGAGAGCCCACGAACGTCGGCCATGCTTAAACTCCCGAAACCCTGGACCAACTGAACTGAAGCAAGGCAGCGACTTCTTCAAGTGCGTGAACACCTGCGGCAGAGGCAGCGCTTAGTTTTGGCAAGCTTGGTGCCTCGATATGCCATGGCAGATCTTCGAAGATGGCGCCGACGCCCGCCAACCCAGACCCCCAAAGCTCAAACTTCCACAAAAAGGCGTCCGGGGGCCTGTTTGGCAATCGCAGACGTCCAAAGCACTGCTAAAGACCAAAAGTTAATGATGACAGCTGCAGTCAGGGGGTTACAAGTTCTACATCATAACGTCAGCCTTAGAGCCTTTAGGCAGTCACCTAGTCGTCTTTCTCCTCCGCGCAGTGTGATGCACGGAACGCGAGATCAGGAGCTGTCAGAGCTAGACATCCCTAAACGGCAAAGCAAGGAACGAAAGGAATTGGCTCAGGCCTTCACCTCGAAACCCTGAATCCGAAACTGAACCCCAAAACCTAAACCCGAATCCCCAAACCCTAAACCCGAAAAGCGCCGGGCATCGGAGTTCTGGGGATGCTTGGTATGAAGCTTTGCTGCGAATGTTGGGCATTGTAGGGTCTTGGTGTATGTGATAGTGTAGTTATGTAGCGACGACGAGACCTTAATTTTTCTCCCGACCCTACGTTAAAGTTTCGGGGACGCTAAAGTTTCGGGCCCTGGCCGGGCTGCAATAAGGGTTTGGGGTTCAGAGATTTAGGGTTTGGGTTCCAAGTTTAGGTCAAGGCTTTGGGGGTTTGGGGTTTCTCACGAGGCCCAAGGATTTTGGAGGCGGATACACTATTTGTAGAGAGGATCTTAGAACCAAAACGGGGGACCCTCTTTGCGGTCCCGCCTAAGCCGTCGCTTGAGGCGGGTGACACCAGTGTCAAAATCGAGTCCGAAGTGCTCGTTCTACTGCCTGGAGGCTGGCGAACTGAGCGAGGTTGACTAAGCTCGCCGGTTTAATGTCAGAGCAAACTCTTTTGTGTCTGCGCATGTGGGTTTGCCTTTTTCCTTGGTGGAGCGTTGGTGCACGTGTACCTCGAACTTAGTGGATATGTGCTGCTGCTATTCGTCGGTCTACACGTGGTTTCACGGGCCACGGTGTGGAGGTCTTGTTGGAGTGGCATGGGGCTTCACTGGGTAAAGCAAGGATGGGTCTTAGGATGCACGAAAAATCTCACACATCAAAAGGAACCCGCGAGGAACTGTTTGGAACCCTACCCTGGGCTGAATAGGTCTAAAGCAAGGGCTTCGAGAAGCCAGGCTAGCCTGGCCAGGAGCAAGAATTCCAACGAGTGCTGAGCACGAAAACGCTGCATCACAACACCCGCAAGACACGCGGCGGAGGCATGGAATTCGGCAGTTGTATCCTTGACCCAAACGGAAGCCGCAACCTTGCTCTTCTCCCCTGGCCCGATTGCAATCACCCTAAAACTCTAAAACCTAAACGTGACAAGCAAAGGAATCCACTTAACTTTCGGTCATTCAAGCAGGCCGTAACCAATCGTATACCCAGCAAGCAATGCAACTGCAGAAGCAGGGCAAAGCTTGAGGTCCAATCGGAATAAAGCACCGTTAGGTTAACTGCACAGCTAAGAGACAAAGCTAGAGCGACCCTACGCACGAGCGGCCTTTTGCTGGACGTTGCACAGCGCACGTCTTGAGCAGTTAAGCTGCGAGCGAGACAAGGTTGGCATGAGATGTAACAAGTAACCAAGGTGTACGTGTACTCGGTGACAAATCACACCCCCTCGACGCGATCTCACGCGTGAGAGATGCGTTATAAAAGTGTCACACAACTCTGATCGTACATCGAGCCATGCCTCTTCCGGAAGCGTTTAACGCTTGAGGCAAAGAGACCTTTAGACATGGGTCGATTCTTGGTGCTTGATCAGGCCTATGTTTCACACTGTACATTCGCAGCCTATGCGATTTCAGTCTGTGTATATAATCGTTGTTCGGGGCTTGCGCTTTTGATCGATGCGCTCAGACTGGCAGCCCCGCAGCATCGAGTGTCAGTGAAAAGCGATGGACACACGAGGAAAATACCATGGCTAGCCATTGCACCCTGTGGGTCTTCTCAGCTTCGGCAGGACAAGGCATTGCTGAGGAAAACGATGGAAAATGGTGTCTAATCGCCGCTTCACCATTGCCGGCACGAACATTAACTCGAGGTCGAGTCAACAATGCTCGTGGAGGCTCAACCGGTTCCACTAGAAAAGACACCATGCGTCACCAGTATTTCGATCGGTTACGCTCTACCTTCGGCGCCGCTGATCGTCGCGCCGAACTGGGGGACTACGTGTTTGATTGCCTGTCACATCTTTTCCCTTGCCTTTTCCTTTATCATTATCAAATCCACCATTATCGCCTTTGCAGGTCTCTCCTTAGGGCTTGCCCTTGGATTTTCCTTTCCCTTTCGGTGCCGGGTTTTCACGAAGTGAGGAGCGATCGTCTATCAAGTAGTGTCAGCAGCCGAGATGGGCCTGCCATCGAAATGTCAATTCGGATTGCTCCTTGCAGAGTGCCTCTCACATTTCAGCGGAAGTTTTCGCCTTCGCTTTTTGAAAGTGAGACACTCGTGCATTTTACCGGAGGCACGCCAAAGAAGGCCGTTTCCCGGTGTTCCTTCGCAAGTGGTCGAGTAGCCGGGAAGTTCGGAAAGATCCGTATAGGCTTTTATACTGATGGAGAACGAACTCCCTTTGTTGCCAGTGGCGGATCTCAAGCAACAACCACTCCGTCAGGTCAAGGTGCGTAAGTACCTTGAAGGGATCGGAAGCATTGATGTATTGCAGCCCATGCAGATAGCATATCGGCCTGGTGCACTGTGGGCAGATTTGCAGACCACATGTGTACTCAGCGCCGCAGGACAGGCACAGTTGCGTGGGCATGTCAACGTCCGGTCGCCGCTCCCCTCGGTTTGTTTCAGGTCCAGCGCCGTACATGGTACCGGCGACGTACTTGAAAGACGTGTCGGGGCCGCAAGGCAAGGGCGGCACTTTGAGGCATTCCGGTCGACCTCTGCAGGCGTGGCATGCAAAGGCGTGGCAGCAGCATGGCTGGCAGGCATGGCAGGCGAGGCGAGGCGAGCTGCGAGAGCACTATCATCGGGCTCCGCTTCGTTTCGAGCGACCGGCGTTACTAGTGAAGAAAGGACGGTCGAATCTTTCAGTGGCGCTACTGAGCACAGATCCGAACGGGGCAGGTGGCGTCAGGAGATCGGTTGTGTTTCAGAGCTAGTCGGGTAGACGACCCTAGTGCAAGGGCGGCAGCAGCAAGCAAAGATACACAATCGGAAGCAAGAGGTCCTACGGCTGATAACCTGTGCAAAGCAAATGAATCCACTTAACTTTCGGTCATTCAAGCAGGTCGCAACCAATCGTATACCCAGCAAGCAAGGCAACTGCAGAAGCAGGGCGAAGCTTGAGGTCCAATCGGAATATAGCACCGTTAGGTTAAATGCACAGCTAAGAGACAAAGCTAGAGCGACCCTGGGCACTAGCGGCCTTTTGCTGGACGTTGCACAAGGCACGTCTTGAGCAGTCAAATTGCGAGCGAGGCAAAGTTGGCATGAGACGTAACAACCAACCAAGGTGTACGTGCACACCAGTCGGTGACAAATCACACTAAACCCTAAACCGTAAGCCCTAAGCCATAATCCCTAAAACCCTAAGCTCTAAGTTTCGATTTCGGGACAGGAGGCCGGCACTTGCCGTCGATTGCAGGGGCAGTTTTCCTGCCGACTTCCTGGGCTGGGCTGATCCCGAAGAAAGACCAATACCAGTATCAATAATACAAAGAATACTACAAACAATAATAACAATAGTAACATATACATGTTAATGATGATAATGACAATAGCAGTTCTAACAATCGCACCAATACAAACTGATACTAATACAACAGAGTAATAGTCGTAGTAGTTATATTGAGAAACCATAGCCGTAATCATAACAACAACTCAGTCGTAGCCGCAAGGGGCCATGGCGCTGCATGTGGTTTCGCTGCAATCTCCTGCGGCCCCTAAACGTACAGACCCTGTCGCGGAAACCTCAAAAGCTGGCACCATGGCAGTAGGGAGCCCTCCGATCCGACACCTGCAAATTCCCAAGTAACAAGCTTTGCCTCTGCGAAAGCAAGATCCTCCAAAACCAGAAACATAACTTCTCACACTGGCCTGGTCCGGTCTAGAACTCTGAATTCCGGAAGCTGCTTCGCGCGAAAACTCCGAGTGTCGGATAGGCCTGCACAGCACGGCACGCCTTCCGGGAAGTCAGGGAGATTCCCTGGCGATTCCTCAAGCCTAAACGACACTGCTAGCTCTGATAAGTCCTTTAGACGATCTTCGTCAGCATCCTTGTCAGAGGTGGACAGACGTCGCCTTATCAAATCCGGGGGGCCCCAAATCTTGTCAGCAAGCCTCGTCCGTCAGCAGGTCGCAACAAGTCAACAGGTGCAGCGGAAGTGTACCGCGGAAGTGCAACTTCCCGAAGAAAAAACCCCCCAACTCCCGAGGCCTCGCTCATTAGGAGCTCTGCGGCCGTGTCCTGCTCGAGGCTGCAACCATGCCGTGCCTCTCTTTGTTGCGAATTCGGGGCCCAGGGTTGAAGAATTCGGGCCCTGGGTTGAGGAGTTAGGATTTAAGCGGTTTAGGGGTTCAGGGAATCCAACATCCCATCCGGAGCGGCTATGGAGTTTGTGTTGCTGCTTTGGTTTAGCATGCTTCCTGCTGTGTGCACGTTGCATATCTTACCATCATTGCTCTCTGCTTTTAAACTTAAACGACTTAAACTACCTGGATGTTTGTGCTTTTGGTGAGTTTGCTGATACAGACATGAGGTGGTCTGGGCTCTTGTCCTCTTCCTGATCATCAACCTCATATCACCATCACCGTCTACATCATCGGCAGCGTTGTCATTGTCGCCATCCCGGTCACCCAACGTGGGCACGCAGTGAACTGTGCCGCCGTGACAGCTTAGTGAAGCTCTCCTTTTGCCACTTTTTCGACCCTGGAGAAGACTACTTCCGGCCCCAAGAGGCCATCACAGGGCTTCGAAGACTTTAAGTTTTAGGGTTTAGGGTTTAGGGCTTCACCACCGGAAAAAGACAAACCGGCCTGCGGAGTCTTGACTCCGCCGCCCGGCACAATGGCCTGGTATCCTCCCGACATTACGAAGACCCTGAGCTTCTCGGCTGCGGCGGTCCGGCACTCAACACACAGGCTGCGGTCAGGGGTCGGGTGGGGCTTGAAGTTGGGGACTTCGGGTTTCGGCTTGGGTTTTGGGGTGTCTTAGCATTTCCTGGTCTCTAAAGCCGCAAGGTAAGGGAGTCTGACAGGGGAGAAGTCTGTGGGGGACTTCTGTGGTCTGAGGCTGAAGGGATGTGGACTTCTCTACGGGGATACATCCAAAGGTTATGTTAAAACTGGGCTCGTAGGAAGCTGTCAAGGCCATAGCTGTTTCCACTTCTTGCGTTGAAGCAGAAAGCATGTTCCTGCGACGATCCTTGACCACGAACCAAGCATGTATCAATCTATTCTAGCATCTTCGTCCTACAGTCTTGCTGGAGGAGGCAGATCTACAGCTCTCGGACTACAACCCAAACCATCAAAAAATTCTCTTGTGCCTCCTACAACACTTGAAAAGCTTCCTGGACCTAACGGTCGGTGGCGCCCGGGATTGCCCAGCTGCACCTTCGAAACCGCACTACCTGCCGGTGTGCAATGCAAAAGAGCCACTACTGGCGCGCCAAGCAACAGGGCTTCAATATCGGAATCGAAATATTTTAGTACTAATCCCCTCATGGTCCGTCCCTATAAAACTATACTACAGTGGACCCCGAAACCCTATGTCCCAAATCGCTAAGGCCCCCCTATGATATGGCCAGTAGGACCCCGAATCCAACTCCGGCAAGCCTTAGAAAGCACAAAGCCCACTCACAGGCATCGGCCCTCTCTTGGGGAAACCTTGAAGACTGAAACGCCAGGAGACCTAGGGTCTTGGGCTGAGGTTTTGGGTCGTTGCTTTGGGGTTTAGGGCTTTGGGTTTGGGGTTTAGGGTTTCGGGTTTAGGGGTTTAGGGGTTTAGGGGTTTAGGGGTTTAGGGGCTTTCGGTTCAGGGTTTAGGGCTTAGGGTTTAAGGTTAGGGCTTTCGGAATGAAGGTTCTGAAGCGCTTGGCCCGCAGCCTGCCTCGCTTGCCTTTGCCGTTCGTCACGGGTTGCGGGGCCTCGCCGCGGCCCACGAGTAGGCCCATTGATGCAAGGCTTGGGCTTCACTTGTTGTGAGCCAGGAATGCAGGGTTGCAGATCCCCTTGATGTGTTCAAAAAAACCCTATTCAAAACCAACCTTCGACAAAAACCTAGGCCAACTGGCGCAACTTGCCTCTAAACCTCAGAAGCTGCAGGTGCCGGGCTCTGGCTCCTGAAATCTCACCCCCTCTTTGCCCAGGGACTCATTCTTGCCGCACCTCTAGGCCCTAGGCTTCTCTACCGCTTCCCGGAAGCCAGCAGAGTCGGTCGCAGCCTTCGCTGTGATTCGCCGGCCGGAGGCTTCCACTCCTCTGAGGCTGAGTGGATCCTCTCCCTCTTCCGACATATCGGGGCCTGAAGCACTAGTCTTGCATGCATATATATATATATATACGTATATATATATATATCTATATATTTCTTTATTTATTTATTTATATAGATAGATAAGTTGGTGCAGTCTGCCGCCACTCGAATCTTCGGACGTTTGCCGGTATGTCTTGAACCACGGGCCTCTGAGTTGAAAGGCTCTGAGCGGTGGAGAATATGAGCAATTGCAGCTCTAGCTGTGTCCACTTGCTCGACCCCAAGCGAAACTCTAGAGTGCCGAGCCTCATATCCCAAACTTGCTCCCCCCCCCCCTCCCCATCACCAAGACCGTTAACCCCAAGCCCAAGGGAATCGAACCGAAGACCCACAAAAACCAAAAAACTTGGACCCTGAACCTCAAGGAGCTCAAGCCGGTTAACTTGAAACCCCCAGCTCAGCCTCAGCCCCCCAAATCTACCTTTCCATGTCCCGCCTGCGGCTTCCGAAGCCTCGGCTGTGCCAGGAAAACCTTCCTCGGCCTCCCGGCGCACTCTCCAGGTCAAGGCCGCAACTTCGCTAGGATTGCTATGGCCTTCTAAATGTGTATGCATGATTGCATGCATGCATGTAACATGTATGCATGCAGGCAGGTATGTATTCATAGAGACAAATGAACACAGATTT